AACTTGGGCCAGTGAAGCAACGTCCTCCACAACTAGACTGAAGAACAAAACGACAGCAACTTGTCTGTTCCCCTTCCCTGATTCCCCAATGCTGTTCCCCTCCCCCAACTCCCCAATAAAAATCTTTAAAAAAAAAAAAGAATATTTGGTTGAACTCAAACTTTTTAAAAGCAACATAAAAAGGCAATAGTAGAACATAATTTTAAGAAAAATGCAAGTAAATTCTTTGTTGAGGATTCTCTGTGCAGCTGACCTATACTGCAAGTGTGAGTGCTATAGAAACACAGTTTTGAACGTGCTGTAACTGAGAGGATACTGTTCTCCATGCCATTCCTGGAAAACCAACTAGAAGATGAACTTTATCCAAACAAAAGATGACTGGGAAAATGTATGAAAATAATTGAACATTTAATATATTTAATGATAGAGTTAAGACTAAAATAAGGGTAGGAACATAGGTCAAATAATAGAATATAAACAACATATGTTCTGCCAACTAGAAAGAATGAAGTAAAAAATGAGAAAGGAACAGAAAAAGAGAAGATGACTGTGTATAGTAATGGTGGGAGTCAAAAGGTGCCATTTAAGAACTGACCAACCAGATAGAAAAAGTTACGAAAAGAGAAATAAAGAGCATAATAAAAGGTATAAATATCTATACCTACACACATAGATATGATAGATAGATAGATAGATAGATAGATATACAGATATATCCTAGCTCAAACAGAGATACTACTGGGGAAAAGAAAAATCAGTGTGGCTTTTTGTAGTTATATAAGGTTGACCAAAAAAAAAAAAACATTAAAAAATATAAAGTACATGGTTTGACTTTCCCATTGGTCATGTGCTGAGTTCTGGATGATACCCAAGACTGGGGAAAGCTGAGTAGGAAATGCAGAGTGTAACATTCAATTGTCTTGCAGAGCTTTGGGGACAAAGTCCCATTAGAGGCAGGGAGCCTTCAACAAACACACAACAGGCCTCCTCTTCAAGACATTTGCCAGACTTTGAACCTGCAAATGGTAGGAACTAAGTTTAAAATCTGCATAAGGCAGAGCTTTGAAGGCTGAGAAAAAAGAGAGTATCCAAAATATCAATCAAAAGCCCAAGCGGACCAGTCCGGAAGAAAGGGGGTTCCAGAGATTAACTGAATCTTACTAAATCTGCAACCCAGCTTAAGACCTGATTGAATTGACTGGCCTTTCACTCTGTCTGACAAAAGACGGGAAGAACCATCACTGGTGAAAGATATTATCTGGAGCCTCCACAGCTAAATACAATGTCCAACATACGACAAAATATTACTAAAACTATGAAAAAGCAGAAACATGGACTAGTACTCGAAAAAGAAAAAGAAATGGAACAACCATAGATGATCCTGATACTGGAGTTATAAGGCAAGCCTTTTAAATAAAATATGATTCATTTTAAATAAAATAGAGAAAAAGATGGGCAAAA